GAACCAGCGATCTTTCGCTGTCTGTTCAACTCAACTCAACTCAAGTCAGTTTCAACTCCTTCAAAATGCATACAGAGTCGTAGTCATCGACATTCCCAGAGCCCAGAGCCCAGAGGCCAGACTCCATCTCCATCCCCAGAGCTGAATGTGGATGTGGATGTGGATGCTTGTTTGGACTCTGCCGAAATGTGGCTGCTGTTTGCTGGTGTGTTCCTGTTGTTACTCTTGTTAATTTCCCAGGCGCAGGGCCAGAGACAGCCATACAACCAGATTTCGCGTTAAGTTCAACAACTTGAGGCAACAAAGTTGTTGCGGTCAACAATCGGGGGGGATCGTCGCCGGTGGCAGCTGTTTTGGGGCCATGCATGATTGGTATTGGTTCTTTATCAGGATCTTGTTTAGGCCATCTCGGTGCTTTGTTGATTTTGACTTTGACTTTTAATGCCGGCCTTCCTCTGCTTGGCCTGCTTGGCCTGCCTGGCTGCCTCGCCTCCTGTCTGCTGCCTTCCCTTTCTTATCAACAAGATCAGTCCGCGTTTCACTTTTGTTCTCCGCTTATCCTCCGTTTTATCCAATCTCCCCTTTAGCTTCATCTCCGTTTATCGTTTATCGTTGTTGTTGTTGTTGTTTCTGTTTGATATGCAAATGATTTTTAATTGTGTGGCCGCGCGGTCCATCTGCAGCCTTGTTAAGACTGAGAAATCTCTATTTAAATGCTCATCGAAATGTCATTAAGCGGCTCCTTCCGCTCCTGCCCGGCGCTGCCCCTCTTAACCGCATTGGAAGGCCACACAAGAGGAGGCGTTTTGTCTGAGTCACACAAACTTACCGGCAGAAGAGCTTTGCTGCGAAAGTTTACACTCTTTTGCAAAGCTCATCTGCGTTAAGCGTTACAATGCCGAAGTTTTGTAGTGAATTGCAATTAGAGTCAATGGAATAACCATACATTTAATGTATCACTTTCCTTAGAGGCTTTTGTGCGTTTTTCTAATATTCAAGCCTGTGGGCGGAGCACCGCACCACTTCAGGGCCTTAAGAGCACGTCGCGGCAAAGAGCGCATGCAGCTACGCTTAAAAGAGAATAGAGAAGCAATGGGAACATGTAGAGAAAGAGAAAGAGCCGCTCTCTTCACCGCAAATCTATTTTTACTGCAAGAGAGCTTTATAGAAAGAGAAGCAAACGAAAGAGTGTCAGCGGGAGAGAGAGAGACTGTGACAACAACAATTTCCCGTAATTAAGACTCTACGCTCTTTTCAATCCAATCACCGGTCAGGTGCAGCTTGTGCCCAGTTTGACAGCCACTGGCACGTTCAGCCATCAAGTTTCCTTCCAGGGACTTTTCCTATATATGAACGTAGCGCTGTCATAAATCAAAGCCGAGAGTGTGAAATTTTTCGCCATCTGGCAATGGCTTCTTAAGGCCCGGGCCGACTTCATTAATATTTTCTAGCCGCCACTAACCGCATTTTGTGTGTGCCAAGTGTGTATCGGTTTGGTCTGACGATTGGGCCGGTCGCATTTGTAGCCATTTATGACTTAATTTCAATTACACGCATTTGGCCAAAAATATTTGTTGCCACTTTGCGGGTAATTAAAATGGCAACACGTGCAGGGAGCGCAACACAAGCGAAAAATGCTCTTGACAGGCGATGGAGCCGCTCTGTGTGGGGTCAAGGGTGGGAAAAAAAAATATCAAAAAGAGCGACGCGTGAAGAGAAGCAAAGAGAGAGAGAGAGATCAGCAAATAACTGTTTCCCTCTTGAAGTGAAGGCAGAAACTAATCGTAAAATTACAACAATTTCCCAGCATAAACAATGTGAATGAAAACGGAGCTTGATTAATTGATAAAGCCAAAGTTAATCATGGACGGCCGCTTGGCAATAATCACAATCGGTGCTTGAGGCATGGGCAGGCATATGACACACATTTGTTCCGTTCCCGCGCTCAATCTGTCCGATCTGTCCGATGGCGCACCTTGCGGCCCGTCGTCTCTGCCAGCAAGGTGCAACCAGCGACTGGCAGACCGAACAACGCCCCAAGAAGCCCTGTGTACCTGTGTACCTGTGCCGGCGGGCGGAGGCGGCATCGATTTTAGAAAGTTCACTGGATATTAAAACGGTAAAGCCAGAGCCATTTCCTTTCTGGCCCACCAAGCAGCAGCAGTAAGGAGTAAGGAGCAAGGAAAAGTCCAGACTTGAAATCCAAAGGCTATATATAACTCGGTGGCATCGGTGGCAGCGGCAGCATAAATTTCATTGCAGACATTTGGCCTTTTATTAATTGTTTGACGGCGCCCGTGCCCATGACACCCCCCGTACCCCCTGCCCTATCCGCTACGCTGCAGCAGCATTCAAGAACTCCAAACTGCAACTGCATTTTCCTCTCTCAGGCTCCCCGCTCTGGGCGTGATGAGAAATTTAATATTGGCAAACGGATAAAACCGCCAGATAATTATACATTTTGAGTGGCCAAAGCTGCAGCCAGCCTCGGCTGCCTCGGACCTCGCTATCGAGGTCTCTCCTGCCCCGCAAATCCCACTGCAGCCCCAGTCGCTGGCTTTGGCTTTGGATTGGGCTTTTGCTTTACAGTTCATGCGGCTCATGATAGTATAAGATTTCATTTCATTAAAGTGCATCACGACGGACGACGGACGGGTGGTCGGTCGGCAGGCGGAATCAATGAGCGGTGGGCAACATAGTTGTTGCCTTGCCCCCCCCTACCAGACTGCTCCCAATCCTCATGCCATTCCCTGGCAGCTACCAGCCAGCCCGGCAGCAGCAGCAGCAGCAGCAGCAGACCATCTAACCCGACTCAACCTACCTTGCTTACTCGTACTTTTCTTCTTATTGGCAGATTACGACGTCCGCGGGGTGGCCAGGCGGTGGGGCCTGGCCAACTTATAATCAAATCCGATAAAAAATTTCATTATTGCTCCACAGCAGCAGCAGCGGCAGCCGAAGCCGAAGCAGCAACGGCAGCAATGTCCGACGAGCAAAGAAAGAAAGCTTTCGGGGGCCCGAGGCCGAAGCTTTGCACACCCTTTTTGGTCCGATTGATTGTGCCCAATATCTGATGCGAGGAGTATGTCTGAGCTCTGATAAGCTGTATTTAAATGGATTTACGGAGCTATTAGCTGGATTAAGCCACAGAACCGAATCGTTGCTGTAATTTTGTTTCACATTTTCTTAGGCTATAAAGATGTCAAAGTAATTTACAATTTATTCAAGACTTATTCCTTCTTCTCGGTGTACAACACATCAATTTCATTGTGAAAAATTCCTACTGCTCTCTGTCCTTCTGTCACACATCCTGCCAAAACCCATATACCCTTTCTGTGTGTAGGGTATGCGAGCAAGAGCCATAACTGTTTTACAGGTAATTTCGCTGTTGCTGTTGTATGATTGTTGCTGGCTGCACTTAATTTTCGCATGCGCACTGAAAACCGAGCCGGACTCATGATCGCGATTTCTTGATCTTCCGTCTTCCCGTTCTGCCACCACATCCCCAATGCCCGAGGCTAGAAGGCCCCCCCCGGGCAGACCCTCCTTCTGCTCCTGTTTCGTGTGCGGAATCCATTTTGTTGTGCCCGGGGCGCTTTGGTTCTCAGCCAACTCCAATGGCTGGCCACTGGAGGTCAGCACGGTGCCAAAGGAATAGAAGAGCAGCCAGAAGAGCTCTTTTGATTCGAAATGGCAATCGCTGGCCTATCGCTGGGGCCACATAAATTGGGACGTGATTATGAAATAATTGCAATTCTGTACTTTGGACTTGCGCAACTTGCGCCGGACAGACAGAAGGCAATCAGTTGGCTCCGCTGGCAACCATTCCAGCACCTTGGGGAGCCCTGAAGCAACTGCAGCAATGCGCAGCACTTCAAACGGGAGCAACTGACAGGCGACAGATGATTGCCAGAGAAATCAAAGGAAAACGCAGGAGGGAAAAGAGGGATTCATTCATTACAGTTCCGAGGGGAGGAACTGTTCGCGATGCCATGACAAATTCCATGACAACACCTGATGCGCCTCCCTCAACTCATTTGCATGTGGTCCCCCGAGGCCTGTGGCTGTGGCTACCTGTGGCTTCTGCTCCTGCTGCTGCTGCTGCTCTTGCTGCTTCTCCTCTTTCAACATATGCAAATTAAATATAATTTCAACACTCGCATTTTTGTTGGTTTTTGTGCGCTGACCATGGGGCTGGCTCCTTCCTCTTTGGCCATAATTTACATGAGGTTAACACGCAAGCAAACAGCCACGAAACAACAACAAAGAACCGGCCTTGATTATCTGCTGAAAAATCGAATGCACGCACTTGCCCTCGGGATTGAAGAGTGAGCTGCAGCCGAAAAGGGAAGTCAAGTCTGTGAGAGGCTGCAAGCAAGAAAGAAAGAAAGAAAGAAATTCTATTACAATTTTGAAATATTGCCAAATCATGGCTCTGAAGTAAATAAATTTCCACGCCACCGCTCACCGTGACCGCCTGAACTTCTGTCGTTGATGCAGATGCAGATGGAGCTTGAGTTTTGAGTTTTGAGCTGAAGCTGCGCTCCATCTTCAGACGCTATGGAGGCACAGGAGCAGGCCCGGCAGCTAAAGTCCCTGGCCGTGTATAAATAAGTAACCTGAGCCGCGCAACACGTTGCCTGACAGGGGCCCCAAAAACGGCAAACAGCCGCAGCACACCACGAGTCGGCTTGGATCGGATCGAATCGCGGAAGGGAAGAACGCGGTGCGGCGGAACCCGTTTAGATGCAGCCTCAGAAGCAACAACAGCAGCGACAGCGGCAGCCGCAGCAGAAGCTCTGTCTCCCCGCTCTCTGCTGGCCTTTGGTGCATTTTGATTTATAAGCGATTTATGCACTTTGCCGCTAAGGTGGGAGTCCTCCACTTGACCGAATTCATACGAGTGCCGCAGTGCCTTGCGATGCCTGGAGTTTATTCTCTCATGTAGGAAAACAAAAAAATATACAAATATAATTTACATAGCCTCGAGGGGCAGTGAATTTTGGATTTACTTTTCATTCACATGTTTCAATTTGGAAAGCATTTGAAGTGTGAGTGTGTGTTGGGTGTGTGTGTGTGTATTAACATACGTATTATAAGGCTGGCCAGTCCCCCATCTTATCTGCCAGACAACTGCCTTATCTCCCCTTGAGAGTCAACAATGTGTGGGGGGTGGGGAGTTTATCTAAACCGCTGGGGGTGCCTTGTTGGCAAAGAACCATAAAAGGCCCATCAGGCAGCTGGGCGGACTGTTGTTCACGGCACCCTTCTGCAGCATGCGCTTGGCCTCGTCCAGGGACAGCTCCACGACCTCAATGATTTCATCGTCCACACCGCCGCCGCTGTTGGCCTTGTCGGCATCGCTCACCTCGCAGTAGTACATCGCCTGTTTGGCACCCGAAGAACCCACACCAGATCTGCGAATGCAAAGAGATGAAACGAGACGCAACATGCCACATCTGCATGCACTGCTAACCTATATACCATGACCTCTTCGATGCGCTCCACGGGCACATCGTAGCCGCACTCCTCGAGCACTTCCTCGCGTGCGATTTCCACCCAGCTCTTCGATTTGTCCACAATCCCAGCGCACAGCTCCAAGGTCACACCGATGGAGGGCGGAAACGACTGTAGGTCGACACTATCAAACGTTCCCTTCTCGCTGGTGATTACGCCGTGGTACACTGCAGGGCGAAACTGTCGCACAAGCACCAGCTTCTGTCGGGACGAGTTGTACAATATGATGGCCACGCTGTCGTGCACCTTGAGCAGGTCCCAGTTTTTCTCCACACCATTCTGGATGTAGTACATGCGGAATGGCTTCACGTAGGGGGAGTCAGCGGGCAGCGGCCCCAACCAGATCTTCGATACGTTTTCCATGGTGTTAAAAATATATTTTCCGGGAGACAGCTGATGCGAAGCACCGACAACAAACAACAACAATGCTTTATGACATTTAACTGAGAACGTGGCATGGTCACACTAATGTTTGAATGTCATTATGTAGATTTTGGTGCTTTGTTGAGCAGAAACCACATCACGCCCACAAGCAGCGCTGGTCCGCCGTTTGTTCTATTGCCTGTTTCGACCAGCTTCTTGGCCTCATCTAGCGACATCTCAACGACCTGTATTACCTCCCTGTCTACACCACCGCCTGAGGAAACTCTCTGTTCATCGCACACCTCGCAATAGAATAAGGCCTGCGCGCCGCTGGAAACACCCACACCGGATCTGTACTGATATATCGTCTGCATGCTGTCGACGGGCACATCGTAGCCGCATTCCTCGAGAATCTCTTCCCGTGCTATATCCTCCAGACTCTTGTCCTTGTCGACTTGGCCCGCACACAGCTCCAGCGTGAAGCCCAGCTCTGGCGGAAACTTTTGCAGATCCACATCGCCCGTGGCTGTTGGCTGATGGTAGTTCATGAGAGCTTGGTAAACCGAAGCCCTAAATTGCCGCACAAAAATTAATTTATCCCGAGACTTGTTATAGAGCAGCACCAAGACACCGTCCAGTACTTTAACAATGTGCGTCTCCTTCTGCTGGTCGTTTTCCATGTAATGAACGGTGCAGGGTTGAATCCATTTGGATTTCGCGGGCAGTGGGGAAAACCAGATTCTTGTTATGTTACTCAGTCGACCGAGGGCAGACCTCTTTGCATCTGAACAACAGACACGACGCAGGCCTCCTCTGAAGAATTTAATCATATTCCAAAAAACAATACAATTAAAATAAAAGTCAGTGTGTAAAAAACGCCAAAAGTCGATAAGGAATTTTTGAAATCATCAGTTCCGATTGAGTGTTCAACAACTGCGCAAACATTTTGACATTTCAATATAACGAAAGTCTTGTGGCGACAGTCGGTCTACCCTTTACGGTATATCAAATACTTTTGCGGATATTTTAACCACGAAATTTAGTTCAATGCAACGTGAGTTCACAATGAAGATAAGTCATTAAAATCAGCCAATCTTGTGGGGAATTGAATGCTGATTTGAGTAAAACTAATTTTTGAAAGCGGATAGTCTTAACCAGCTGGTTATATTAAACAGAAGATCAAAGTCGAGAAAAATGAATTGAAAGGGTATATTTCGGTATATTTCCGAGGGTCAATCGGTTTATTTTATCGATGATTCGCATTGTGCGTGCTGTAAAACGCCATCGCTGCTGAGTGTTCAACAACGACACCTCATTTTGACGTTTATCGAAAATCTTGGTGCGACAGTCGGTGTGCGGTGTGTAAAATATTTTACTTTTCTCCCAACGTTAGATAATAGCCTTTTCCGAACTTGATTTGCAGCTGGGAAACGAATCCGATTGCAATTTAGCCAGAGTGTGTATCAATTAAGCGAATATGCTGCGCTCGAGACTGACACAGGCAGCCTGCGCCGCCCAACGTGCGTTCTCCACCACCCCCAAGGTGCTGGCCGCCAAGCAGATGACGGTACGCGATGCCCTCAACAGTGCCCTCGACGAGGAGCTGAGCCGGGACGACCGTGTCTTCCTGCTGGGCGAGGAGGTGGCCCAGTACGACGGTGCCTATAAGGTAAGCGAAAAGAATAGCAGAAAAACCCTTGCAACATTTACCCCCTTTGCGGATTACGTAAACAGCATCGGCCAGTGACAGTTCGCGCTGACAGCTGATGCAGTGGGCCCACATCCCAGCCGCGGGGGCAGGGAAAGTGCGTGTCTGATAATGAATCGGAATCGTGTCTCTGCCTACCTTTCGCAGGCTGCGTGATTGGCATCGGCAAGGTCACGCAATGTGTGTGTGTTTGACACGCTGATAACACGCAGCAGCGATAATAACATTCTGATTTGTTTACCCTGAATGATCGCTAAATTTGTATTTTATCTGTTTTTTCTAGGTATCCCGTGGACTGTGGAAGAAGTACGGCGACAAACGCATCATTGATACGCCAATCACAGAAATGGGTTTCGCTGGCATTGCTGTGGGTGCTGCCATGGCCGGTCTGCGTCCCGTCTGCGAGTTCATGACCTTCAACTTTGCCATGCAGGCCATTGATCACGTGAGTGTTGATTGGTTGCCCCACTACATCCAAGCAGTTGCCTAAATACTCATATTATCTCATTGCCAAAAACAACACCAAAGGAGAGATTAACTCCAGTTAATGTGCCCCCTCCCCCCCCCCACTCAGCTAGCTAATTACTGCCAAAAGTCCAATTCAAGTTCATTACAACAATCAAAAGGGGCGGCGCGTAATGGGATAATATGGGTTGAGCGACTCCTGTCTCAGCACAAAAACAAAGCCTATAGAACCGGCTCCTCTCTACCGTTTGACTAATTCCAAACTCCACTCCCATATTATCCGATTATGTGCAGGCCAAGCTACTCAAGTCTGTCAAGCCACCGATTGGCGACTGCCAGCTGCCTCTGCCCAAGATCATTGAAAGTCCGCGCTCCACCTGGCTGAACGAAATCAACGACATCCTGCAGAAAGATCGCGTGGGCGAGCGGACAATCATTTCGCCGCCGCTGGGCAAGAGCATGCCCGACAAAATGGAGGCTGCCCGCCTCATTGTCATCCGCAAGCGCAAGATGAAGAAGCACAAGTTGAAGAAGCTGCGCCGCAAGATGAAGTTCGAGTGGGCCAAGGTGCGGCAGCGTCGCGAGATGCGCAAGGAGAAGGCGTTCCAGGCACAGCTCATGTCCCAGATCAAGCAGGCGGAATCGTTCAATGCCGAGCAGCATGTGGCGGAGATTCTGCGACAAGCCAATGATAATCCATTGCCACGCTTCTGGAAGGGACGACGCCTGCCCGCATTTATTATTAAGCAGAAGTTAGGAATTAAGTGAAGTTCAGCAAATAAAATGCAAATTGTATTAACTTGAATTGGACACATTCGAGCAGCTACTGGGAGGAGGCACACACACACACACACATGAGATATTTGTCCTTAAATAATTGTAAGCCTTTTCACTTCAGATCATCAATTCGGCTGCCAAGACGTTCTACATGTCCGCTGGCGCTGTCAATGTACCAATCGTGTTCCGCGGACCCAATGGTGCCGCCTCTGGTGTGGCCGCGCAGCACTCTCAGTGCTTTGCCGCCTGGTACGCACACTGCCCCGGCCTGAAGGTGGTGTCCCCCTACGATACGGAGGATGCACGAGGTCTGCTCAAGGCTGCCATTCGGGATCCCGATCCAGTTGTGTTCCTGGAGAACGAACTCATGTACGGTACTGCATTCCCCGTCGATGATAAAATCACCGACAAGGACTTTGTGGTGCCGATTGGCAAGGCGAAGATCATGAGGCCTGGCAAGGACATCACCATTGTGGCGCATTCCAAGGCTGTGGAGACGGCACTCCTGGCCGCCGCCGAGCTGGCCAAGAAGGGCATCGAGGCTGAGATTATCAATCTGCGCTCCATTCGTCCCCTGGACACGGCGACCATCTTTGCCTCTGTGCGCAAGACCCACCACCTGATCACCCTCGAGAACGGCTGGCCACAGCATGGTAAGCGATCAGGGAAGCCTCCACTTAAAGTTCCCTAAATAAATTTAGATTTTCTTTTTTCTAGGTGTTGGAGCTGAAATCTGCGCCCGCATCATGGAGGATGAGACATTCTTCGAGCTGGATGCCCCCGTGTGGCGTTGCTGCGGTGTGGATGTGCCCATGCCCTATGCCAAGACGCTCGAGCTGCACGCTCTGCCCCGCGTGGCCGATGTGGCTGAGGCGGCCCTCAAAGTGCTGGGCGGCAAGGCGGGCAAGGCAACTGCCGCATTGAAATAGACCCAAGCAAACACACACACGCACGATATCGCCCAGAGCTAACTAAATTTACTGTCCTCAACGATACAAAAACAGAAAACATGGACATTCGCTGTCCCTAAATTAATGCACCGAACTACAAATCGAAAAGTGGAATGGAAGGGTTTGAATTTAAGCAGCACCATTGGATTTTGTTGATCTTTCAAACCTGCTAGTTTATTTTTTTGGTTATAGAAATCTCTTCTGAAATTAAAAAACACAAATTATAGAACCCGCTGCCATGTTTCGTTTAATTAATTAATTTAATTTGCGCGTTTGAGAGTGGCGCTTGTTCGTCTGCTGTGCAACACTTGTTGGAACTCGATTGCGCTGCGCAGCACTGACGAAAAGTAGCAACAAGTAGTCAAATAACGTTACATTCTTACGTTTTATGCTAATATTTCTTATTTTACTTTTCAGCATGAATGATAGTTTGTGAGTAATCAAATAAAAAGAAGTCGTAAAAACTAGTCAATCTTGTCAAGAATTAATTACCCTACCGGATAAAATTAAAATTGTAGTGCTGAGAGTTCTAACTAGCTGGTAATATTAAAAAGAATATCAATATCGTGGAAAATAACTTAAGACTCTGTATATTTACGGTATATTTTGAAAACGAGATGGTATATTTCGGTACATTTGTGAGGGTCAGGCGATATATTTCGTCGATAAGTCCGCCATAGACAGGCAAAGAAGAGAAAAAAAGGAAAACTGCAAAAACAATAACAATAACAATTAAATGAAACTCGAAAACACAATGCTCTGGCTGTAATGGCAAGTAGCTCCAGCTCCGATGAAAGCTCCAAAGCCCCAGAGAATTTTCAAATATCCAGTGCCTCGACCAATGACGACGATGACATCTGTGATGGCGCAGGATACACAAAGAAGAAGCCAAATGGAGGCAGCAGCGTAAAGGCGACCATAGCAGCTGCTGCTGCTGCGGCTGCAGTTGGTCTGCGATGTCCTCTTTGTCTCGGTTGCACTGCGACACGCTTCCACTGTCGAAATTGCGTCAGAAATGGAAACATTACTCATAGCGCCGCCACCGAAAGGGCCGAGAGGTTTGCTACTCTTTGCACAGTCATGCCATTCGTTCTTCCCCTAATACATTTATCATTTTGGTTTTGCAGCCTGTCGGAAAAGCAGCAGCGATATATCAATCTGCAGGCGGGTCTGAAGACTTACAGTAATCGCTATGAGGGCCTCATACAGCAACACAAGTCGAACGAGAATCGCTTGATGGCCATCAAAGCCAAGCGCAAACAGCTGGAGCTGCTGCAGCAGCTGATTGGTAGCACCACACAGCGTCTGCTGGTGCTGGGCGAGCAGCGCGATGAACTGCGTCTCGCGAATGCCGAGAAGCGCAAGAACCTGCCCAAGTATCCCATTAAAGTGAAGATGCTGGAGGACTATGTGCTCGATCGCATCGAGAAGATCGAGAAACTGCGCGACACGCATCTCGGTCTGATGGACAACATCAAGCAGACGGCCCGCCGGGGCATACAGCAGCTGGTCACCTACATATTTCCTATCACAGAGGTGGTGCTGAAAGATGAGCAGCAGCGCAAGATGAGCAACGAGCGCAGCGAGGAGGCAGAGACAATTGCGGCACTGGCCGATGCCAAGAACACCTCGTATATACGTGGCAAATGGGTGTTCCACGGCAGCGGCATCAGCGAGGTGCAGTACCGCATTGTGGGGCCCTCGCTGCCGGCCAATGGAGATTATACTGCTTACCTGGACTGGCTGTCGGACAACAAGGACGATGTGCCAAAGGCCACGGCCAATGAGATTACACCCAGTCGCTACGAGGCGTATCGCATTGTGGGCGCCCTCACGTACACGGCTCAGCTGACGCAGCTGCTCAGCTTCTATCTGAATGTACGGCTGCCACATAAGATTGCCTATGGGGACTTTTGCCGCAAGCTTCTCAACGAGGAGCAGTTCCTCCGCAAGGTGTCGCGTGTCAACTCCAACATCATGTATCTGGCCTACACGCAGCAGGTGAAGCTGCGCGCGCTGAACGAACAGCACACGCTCGAGAACATTTTGGCCATACTCGATCTGGAGCGCAGCGATTTGGGCCGCTTTGGCCATTTGGATGTGACAAATGCGCCGCTCATGAAATCGGTGGACTCTCTATTAATTGGCATTGAAACGGCCACAGAATCGGAATCTGAAGGTGCGTTTTAATAGAGTTTACTAGAGGAGTTATATCTGTAAATTTGTTTACTTTCCTGGCAGATGAGAACTCTTTGCGTTTGGACTGGGAATCGGTGCCGAGTCTGACGCCACAGCCAGAGCTTGCGGATCCCAATCTGATGCCGGCGGTGGCTCAACAATCGACCATTGCCATGGTGCGTATGGCAGCCACCTCAATGCTGCGCTGGATCAAGTGAGCGCAAGATGTTGCTGCTGGCCTTCCCCCCCACACTCCCCCAGCAATTATCGAGCAAAGCACGTGTGTTATCTTTTACAAATTAGGCTAAGTTATCGGAGGAAAAGGAGGAGCAGTGGGTGGCTACTATCAGAGAGTAGAGTATGAATGGATGGTTCTTTTTGGTTTACACAACAAATATTGATATGAAAATATATATCTATGTATATGTGTGTGTGTGTGTATATATCCAATCCCATATATATATTTATGAGGGGTAAAACGCAATCGATTGGGTTTTGTTTTTACATAACTTATTTTGTGTTTTTCCTTTATTTAATAAAAAATGTTTCGCTATAAATAACTAATTACGACTTTGTTGCTTATTTAATGCTTGCAAAGTACAAATTACACACATAACTTCTACTTTCGACTTCGACTAATTACTTTTTTGCTTAAAATACTAAAATGTTACTTGATTGATTGATTGATGGTATGTATAAATTGTATGAAAATAAAAGGCGAAACGAACACACACGGGGACATGTGTCGAGAATTCGACTGAGGATCACTCCTACGCACTCACGCACTCACTCACTGCTGTCTAATGTTTGTATGAAACCTGCACAGCACAGTTTACAAGTTGCATCTTTGCCATTGAGTGGTTGAGTAGGGACGACTTATGCTAAACGAACTTCGTTGGCAGTTGTTGTAAGATGGATGTGTTGGTGTTGTTGCTGGCTGCCTCACTGGCAGCTGTAGGCGGGGAGGGCTTTACAAATACTTGTGGCAGTGTATGGGTTAGTGGGACGGAACCGGTAGCCCCAAGATGTGAACTACTCTGCACAGAGACGGGCACGGGCACCGCCACGGAGCCACCGCCACCGCTGCTGCCGTTGAGCAGACCCAACTGGTGATCATAGCTGGCCAGGGAGCTCATTGAGGAGAGGACGAGTGCTGCTGCCATCGCCTCGTGATTGTAGAATGCCGACACTGGTGCCTTCGATGGCTGTGCGGCATTTAGCAAGGGTCATTGATGCGTTGACGTTCCTGCACCGCCACTGCCGCTGACATTTCCACCCTTCATGACGCCGCTCGGTGAGACGTTGAATTGTTTTTGCCAAGTGTTTTGCAGTGATAATTGCTTCTCGAAGGATTTCAGTTCGGACAATGTCTTCATTACTTGGGCGTTGCTGCTGAGATCGTAGACATGCTGCTGCTGACCCAGAGTCATCGCACTCACACCCACACCCACTTTGGCAGTGTGTTGATGGTGGTGATGATGATGATTGTTGTTGTTGTTATTGTTGTTATTCTTGTTCTTGTTATTATAGATGTACATGTTGTCCGCTTGGAAGCCCAACACTGATGCTCCATTGGCCTTTCCCGCGCCGGTACCCGTGCCAGTGGCAGTCTTTGCCTTGCTTTGAGTCTTTGTTTTTGCTTTTTGCGGCTTTGCTGTGGCTGTTATAGTTGCCATCGCCAGCGCTCCGGCAGGATAGACACCCACAATCTCAACGCCATCGGATTCGCTGCTGCTCTCCAAGTTTGCTGAGGAATTCTGCAACTGTGTGGCATAGGACAAGCGGCTGCTGCCGCTGCTGTTGGTGCTGGTAATGACTGGAGTAGGCTGCGGCGTGATGGTTATTTCAGAGGAATGTGCAGCAAGCTGTTTCGATGTCTGCAGTATATCACTGGGACACTTGTAGTCATCCAAATTGATGACATGCGGCGATGGTCGTGCTCCACTGATCACCTTGGAATGTGCTGGACTGCTGTTGCTGCTGCTGCTGTTTGTCTGATGACTGTTGATTGTCGTGACGCTAGGATTGGCGGCAGCAGCTGCCAGCGTTGCTGCAGTTATGAGATTGTACATGCTCTGGTGTTGGTCCGAATGTGTCCTAGCCGAGGCAGCAAAATCGCCAAGCATTCCCGCCAAGACGGCCGCCTGTGCTGATGTACTGGGCATGCATAAAAGATTCTCCAGACTGCCAGCAGTCACATTCACAACTGCTGCAGCAGGCGTTACCTGGATTTGAGGTGGAGGCTGCTGCGGCTGCTGTTGGTTCTGCAGCTGCTGCTGATGCTTTGCCATTTTTGTTTTCGGTGGCTTGGTGGCTTTGCCGGTTGGCTGCTCTTTGAGCTTGCGCTTCAGGCTATTGGATGAGGCACTTGTAGCTGAGTCCGTGTCCGAGTTGCCACGCGATCGACTTGGTCCTGCTCCCTGCGGCAACTCTTCCACTTGTCTTAGATAATTATTGGGCTGCGGCAGTGGCTCTGGTGTGGCAGCAGACGCCGGAGGAGCAGGAGCAGGAGTTGCAGCTGCAACGGCGGCAATTGGTTTCGCTGGAGTCTTTGTCTTCTCTGTAGACCTTCTGATGGAGTTCTTTTGGCGGGTGATTTCATTTTGTAGATCATCGTAACGCATCCAGCCCATGGGCCACAGTTCAAGGACCTTTGACTTGAGAAAACCATTAATGAACTCCTCCAGAGAGTCCTTGCGCTTGCCGAGCACAGCATAGGAGGTCCAGCGTGCCTGATAGACGCTGTACAAAAGGTTACGCAGCTCGCTGGTCCACTGGAACCTCTTGCGCGGCATCTTGAGCGGCACCTCCGAGTTCACATCCGCCGCACTAAAAGATAATTTTGATGAATGAGCGGGCAAAACCCCTTGGAAAATATCTCAATTAATCTTACGCTTGCTCTGCAAAATGATGCAACTCCATTTCGTAGCTGGCTACGGCCTTGGGCATGGACTCGGACACTGCACGCCGCAGCTTGTCCAAGGCAATGGTTGTCTTGTTCCTCTCCTCCTTGGAGCGCATGGCCTTGCCCTTGCGCAGCATATAGTATTTGGGCAGCTGCAGCTGATATTCAATGTGCGAGAAGACCATATTCCGTTCGTTACGATCCGTGCAGAGCAATGCCTCGTAGACCCTAACAAAAGATAAAAAATTGTCATTTAGGTTTGGGCTTCCCTCTGGTCAGTCTTTGTGAAACTCACTTTAGCAGCAGAGCGCTCAGATTGCTATCCAGCGTGAACTTTTTTCCGCACATGTCGCGACTCTTCACCACCTCCTTGAAACAGTTGACGGTCTTCAGTATATGCGCATCCAGGGATGTCGGCAGCAGCGTGTCAGCCGTTCGCAGATCTTTAAATGAAAGAAACAAAAAAAAAAAACTATATTAAATTCCGCTCACAAGCGTGCTGTTTGGTGGAGAGAGACATACTTTCACCAGCCTGCCCTTGGCCTTGGTTTTTGGCTGCTTTGTCAGTCATGGCCTGATCCGGTACGGAGTCGGTGTCACAGCTGCTCTCCAGATCATCCGTGGAATGGCACTTCAGTTCTCCATTGACGACAGTACCTGCAACCGATGCTGTGCCGCTCTGTGACTTCAGGAAGCTATCCCTTTTGGCCTTGAGCATATCCTTGACGGTCGTTGTCTTGACCACCTTCTTCAGGGCTTGCGCCTGGGCCTGACGCACCTCCGAATCGGAGTTATCCACGGCACTGGGTCGCGGCGAGTTGGAAGAGGAGGAGGTCACTGTCAGCGTTTTGGTGGGTTTGCTAGTGCTGGTGGTGCTGGAGCCGGAACCACTGGACTTTGACTTTGACTTGGATTTTGACTTGGTTGATTCATCCCCTACGCCAGAGCTGATCTTGGCTCTCTTTGCCTGATGATTGCCTTTGTACATTTCATTGGTGTTGGACTTTGCAGTGTTGGCAGAGTCGCCATCGTCCAGGCTCTCGCTGTCGGAGTCCTCCTCATCATTGTCATCATCATCATCGTCGTCATCGTCCTCGCTATTCGATTCGCTATCCGATGAGCCATCATCATCATCCGATCCATTGTTGTCGTCAGCGTCATTATCCTCGCCCGACGACGACGAGGAGGACGAAGACGAGGATGAACTATTGGAGCTCGAGGAGACGATGCGCTTGCGCGATCTCTCTGGCATTTTGATGATCGCATCCGTTCGCGTGGTGTAGGATTTCTTGGTCAACGGCTTGAACTCTAAGGCGCCGCAGTTGATGTAAAAGCCACCCTCCAGGGTCTCCACCTCCTCAGGTATGACTTCGTCGTACTGCAAAGGAAATGAGAAAAATGTTACCCCCGAATCCAACTTGAGTGCTGATTGCGTGCATTACCGCTTCGGAATTATCAATGAAGGAATCGGTGTCATCGTAGCCCACGCCAATGTCACGATGATCCTCCTTTCTGCTGCGTCCACGTCCTTTGGCATAGGCGTTGCCATATTTGGCCTCCAGCTCTTTGGCAATGCGCTGAACGTCATCATCGTTGTCGGCAAACGGATCGCTGCTGCTGAAACCGTTGCCAGTCTTTAGCTTTAGCTTCTTGGCCTTTTTCTGCAAGCAAAAAAACGAAGCATTAGCATTGGATACTCCCTCTATCCAGGTCATCCTTTAACATACCTTCTCCAAGTATAAAAGCTTTGAATAATTAAACTCTGGATAGTTCGCGGTGTCCGTCTCGAAGAGTTTGAGATTGATGCGAATGCTTTTTGTTGTCTTTGCTGGCTTATTTTGGACGGCCGGCACCTCCGGCTCCAAGATGTTTCCGCCGAATCTCGAGAATACCGATTCGCTCTGGATGATTGAAGTAAGGGAGACACGCTTATGTTCGCCCCCCCTCGACATTTCCGAGCAACGGCAAGCGGCAAGCGCAAACGCACAGAACAAGAGCGAAGAGAAGAAACCTTCTTTTGACTGCTTCCCGCCCTTTTGGATGATGAAAGCAGCGTGAGCCCGCCGCCGCTGCCAGCAGCCGCAACGCGCCGCGTGTTCTTCTTCTCCTCTATGTTTCACACAAAAACAACGTCAACGACCATTCACTCTCCCACCTCCTGCGAAGAGCAACGGAGGGAGAGACGAGGTGGGACGAGGAGGGATGTGTCTCTTTCTGTTTCTGCACGTACACCACCAACAACAACTACTACCAGCAGCAGCAGCAGCAGCGTTGCTAGCCGTTTCCACTTTTACTCTGCTTTTATTTTAGTTGCAACACACGAAAACAATCTTTGAAAAACATAAACAAATGCAATCGCGACGGGCCCTCGGTGTGGTGTCGATTCCCGTAAGTTTATCAACAGCGATTTTCCCTCGTTCTTTGCGCTCTTTCTTTATCTGGACGCCCCCCTCCCGCGCTGGCAGATGCAGGCCACGGATTATTTGTCACTTTTCTGCAGTTTGGTTTGGGGAAAAAAAAATTTCGGTTTAATTTACTTGATTGCCGGCACAAAAACAATACACTCGAAACCGGGACCACAACCACTGGCTAATCGCGACTAAGTAGGACACATTAAAAATCATTAAATACGCGCTTTTGCAGGTTTTGCAGGCGGGCTGCTGTTAATTTGTTTCTTATTAAAATCCCGTGGCCCGTCCTCAACGCTACACATTCTCGCCGTCGCTCCGACCCCGCGTTTAACTTTTTGGCCAGCATTTTGCAGCACTGGACGCGGATAATTCGCAATATACCTGTCCCGCTTGCTTCAACTAAGATGTGATAAGACAACGGCTTACACTGGACGGAATCGTTGAATACATGCTGTTTTAAGTGGTACATATTTTAATTTGGTTAATTTGAATCACATATATTTAATTCTAGGCCCCCTGAGAAAAGATGTAGATGAAATACAACGAAATCTTTAAAAATTAAACAAACAGCTGACGGTGCTGGTGCAGCCCTCGTTAGTGCTGCATATTTCTGGTTTGTTTTGAAGAAATCGCTCTGCTGCGCAACACTGACAGCGAGCAGCTGTTGGTTGGAAAGTTGTTAGCAAGTGGGGGCTGACAGTGTTTTGGGTTTTTGGGGTCTCTCTCAGTATTATTGTGGGGCTGCCATTGCCTCTCACGTAACTACGAACTACGCCAAGTGTTTGCTTATAATTAGTGCAAGTGGATTGGAGCAAATACGTGAGTTTTGTTCATACATGTCTGGGTGCCGAGCTGCTCTGGTGCTCCAATAAATCGTTGCATGCAAAGAAATTCGACCGAAACTGCAAGCTGTTATTAATGAATATGGGTTGACTGTGACCACTATCAAATGAAATCGATAAGAATTGTGCAATTAATGAAAGTGTGCAGTGCCGTGCAGTGGTCCCAGGCCACTCGTTTGTGTATATATATATATGTATTTTTATGCTGCCTTTATGCTTGCAGTGCCCCCCTCTCGAGCGCAAGTGGTCACCAGTGCCGCCGTTCAAAGAGCAACGTTCGGTGCTTTAAAAGTCTCCACCAACAAAAGGAGGGAGCCACCCGCCCCAATCATCCAGTCATCGTTTTGTGACTTTCTCCCGAAGGCCCTGAACGACACAGGAATCAAATGAAACAAAGCAGTCTCCAGTTCCCCGCCCACACATAGCAGTCGTCTCCAGGGCAGGCGCGAAGCGACAATAAAGAAAGAGCTTCTTTGTTGTCTTTTTGTCCATTTCATTTGCAACGGAAGAACAGCCAACAGCTACACGCATAGCCAGACCCAGAAGTGAGTGAGTAATGCAATCCATTAGCAATTACCTGGGCCACCTATTTAGTGCACAGTGGAGGGAAAAGTGTTGAACATCATCAGCGATAAGAATCTATTTCTGTGTACAGAGAGCTCTTTTATCAGACTCCTCCGTAAGGCCCATAAGTACCAGCGGTACGTACGTATTCCAATGCAAACAAGTGTCGAGAAAACGTGTCTCTCCTTTTAATTAGACTCCGAAATATCAAAGCCCCAAAAAGGTACTTACTATACGCGGTAAATGACCTTGAATAGCATATCTGTGCATGTGTCGTCGCCTTGTGCAATCCAAATGTGGCCAATGAATTTCCCTGAAAAGCGAAATGTTTGTTTTAAAATACGTCCATTTGAGGCGGTCAACTGGTTTTCCATTTGGGCAGTGGCCAGGCCAGGCCGCACAAAACCCAACAAATAATAAACCAGAAGCCAGCAGCCGTAGCAGAGCAGCAACAAGTAGCGCGTACGAATTTAATTTACTTTTTAATGCGTCATTATGCCATTTTGCGACACGCCAAATGTCAGCCGACGGCAGCGCTGATCATTCCCGATTGAGTTCGCTTCGTTGTCGTTGTTGTCTCAAAGTTCACGATCATTATCAAAGAGCTGCGACATCTCGCATCATTGACATGCAAAAGCGATAAAAGAGATGCCAAAAGGAACAAGAAGAAAGAGGGAAAACACACAGGTTTTGATGCCCCGAAGGGGTAGATACCCTGCAGCTACAACTTTTGACAACAGTTTGCAATGAGAGCTCCCGTGGCAGCTACGGAACGTCCCTTGGGTGCAGATATATTGCAGCATATATGTGCATTTATTTGTTTATGTACATATGTATATCAGCGGAGCGAAACTGCAGACAAACTTCAAATAAAAAACCACATTGCAAAATCCAAAGACCCTATGTAAGGGTATACAAATAAAAAGCGGAAGATAAGTAAACAAAATGCACGCTTTTCAAAATATGTTCATTAATTCAAGAATAATTCAGGAAAGCCAAATTTAATGTGAAAGCAATAAAAGACAAGAGAAGCTGCTGGTGCTGAGTGCAAATGAGTGAAAATTGTGATTTATTAGCTTAGATGCAAAACGCGCTTAAAACTTCAGAATCCAGATTGATTTTGGAGGAATAAATGAAATAGACTAAAACATACATTGGCTGACAGATCACCTTTAGGTGAGATCATTTGCTTTTGTCTGTTTGAATGTACATCATGTACACAAAGAATACTTTCATGTACTTATGTACATAAATACATATATCAATCATATACCCTGTATTTCACCACGTACAATTTACAATGAATATCGAGAACAAAAAGTACCGGTGGGTGACTTCTAACACCCGCTATACGAATACATACGAAGGTGTGTACATACACCGGTACATGTATGTACATACATATATTACGAGAACTATTAGTCGTATGTCTCTGGTATCGTCTCTGGCTTGGTTCCATTTTAGAAACGATGACGCATGGACGGAAATGAATTTACAAATTGAAAAAACCAGAACATAAGAGACTCATTACACAGACAAAAAGAGCACTCGAAAAGAGGACCATCGTTGATAAGATTTCAATCACGAGAACTCTTCTCATTTCTCTATGTATGAATATTCTCGCCCACAGATCTCGAAAAGCTGCACAGACAACATGACGGAGAGCGAGGAGCTGATGAATAAGTATGGCGAACCCTTGCGCTATGATAGGAATTTCAAGGGACCACGACAGAGGGATCGCAGCTGCACGGATGTGCCCTGCCTGCTGCTGTTTGCACTCTTCCTGGCTGGCTGGGGCTTCATTGCCCACTATGCCATCACCCATGGAGATCTCAATAAGCTGATGGTGCCGACGGATTCGTTTAATCAAAAGTGCGGCATCGATTCGTCTGTGCTGCACAAGAAGCATTTGTTCTTCTTCAATTTGGAGCAGTGCATTGATCCGCTTGTGCCGATTACTGGCTGCCCCACACCACAAGTGAGTGAAATCCAAGTAAATATTCCTGAAACATGAACCCAATCCTTCCCTTTTGCAGGTTTGCGTGGAGAGCTGTCCCACTCAGACGTTCATCTGGGACACAATGCACGACAGCCTAAGCTATGAGGAGCTGCGGAGTCGCCTCATCTGTTTGACCGACGAACACAAGGCCAACATTCGCAGCAAGTCCGACATGCAGCGCGCCATCGATCAGAATCTCTGCGCTCGCTGGTACATCAAGAGTGCGCCCTTCCTAAATCGCTGCATATTCGAATTCTCGCCACAGATGTGCGAGTTCATTCCCTCGTTTCTGCTCAAGGGCGGACGCTCGCGTCGCCAGTTGATGCTGATGCCCGGCAATGCCACCTCAGAGCCGGAACTGCAGGCTCAAGCTATGGCCTTGAGCATGTCGCAGGCGCTGGTGTTGCCGCAATCGAATGGCAGGCTGGAGCCCGTGCAGGAAGAGCCGGCGGTTCAGTGCCGACGAAGACTAAACGATGCCGTCATCAAGGAGAAGATGAAACAAACAGACACCCGGCTGGCCAAGATGGTGGGCAATTTGGTGGCACATTTCTACAACGGCACCCACGATGCCCAGCGGCTGGGCGAGGAGATTGTCGAGGATCTCGTCAATTCGTGGTCCATTGTGCTAGTGGCCTGCTTCTGCACACTGATCGCCTCGCTGGTGTTTATTGCCCTGATGCGTTGGCTCTCGGCGCCCATACTGTGGTTCTCCATCTTTGCCGTGCTCACCGGGCTCCTGGTGGCCATCTATTACACTGTGCGGCAGTACATCTTCTGGGAGAAGACACCCACTGTGCCCATACATGGCCTCAATCTGCAGTCGACAGTGAAGAATGTGCTGCAGAACCAAAGCACCTGGCTCTATCTGTCCATCTTTGTGGGCGTGTGCTTTGTGGTGATCCTGCTGTTGGTTATTGTTCTGCGTAAGCGCATCCGCATTGCCATCGCCCTGACCAAGGAGGGCAGCAAGGCAGTGAGCAGTGTCTTCAGCACCGTCTTCTTCCCGATCTTTTCATGGGTGCTCTTCATAGCCACGATTGCCTTTGCCATCGGTGTGGGCCTGTATCTTGGCTCCATTGGAGAACTGTCATTCCGCATGGTGCAGCGACTGAACGAGGCCGGTCAAGTGACCAACGAGCCCTGTGTGTGCGAGGGACCAGCCATTAACTATACACTGGGCAGTGCCTGTGATCCGCAGCTGTTTGAGAAGCATTGCTACAACAAACAGGCCTCGACGACTGGCTTCTTCCAGCAATCGCAGCGTGTGGCCTGCTCCCAGACGACGTGCAGCTTCCTGGACATCGACAATCCGCCGCTGGTCAGGTGGGCCATCTTCTACAACATTTTCGGCTTCCTGTGGCTGAGCTTCTTCATCTCGGCCTTCAGCGACATGGTGCTGGCGGCCACATTCGCCAGCTGGTATTGGACATTCAAGAAGCGAGATGTGCCCTACTTTACGCTGGCACGTGCCTTCGGCCAGACGGCATTCTATCATTTGGGCACGCTGGCCTTTGGCTCGCTCATCCTGGCCGTGGTGCGCCTCATCCGCCTGGTGCTGGAGTACATCAATGAGAAGCTGAAGAAGTACGACAATGCGGTGACCAGAGCGATACTCTGCTGCATGCGCTGCTTCTTCTGGCTGCTGGAGACATTCCTGAAGTTCCTCAATCGCAATGCGTACATCATGTGCGCTATTCACGGCAAGAACTTTTGCACCAGCGCCAAGGATGCCTTCAATCTGATAATGCGAAACTTTTTGCGCGTCATAACATTGGATCAGGTCACCGATTTTCTCTTCTTTATATCCAAGTTGCTGCTCACAGCCGGTGCGGGCGTGGCTACATATTATTTTCTGGCCAACAATCCGGCCATTGTGCAGCTGCATTATAGAGCCGTGCCCACCACAGTGGTGGTCATAGCCGCCTTTCTGATAACCAGCGTGTTCTTCGGTGTTTATTCGACGGCTGTAGATACGCTGTTTTTGTGCTTCCTCGAGGATTGCGAGCGAAACGATGGCACGCCCGAAAAGCCCTTCTTTATGTCCAAGCAGCTAATGAAAATTCTCGGAAAGAAGAACAAGCTGCCGCCGCGGCAGCGTCGCAGCAAGTAAGGAGAACGGAAAAGACAGTGCAAACTTATCTAAAACTATATTTATAAATATTATATTATATATGTATAAACCCTTATCTATTGGGTTGTGAGCGAAACCATTGCTCAAAGCCGCCGCCGAGTATGAAGATGATGAGAGAGCTGCAAAAAGATTTACATCAAATGTATGCAAATGCAACTTTTTTTTGTTGAAAGAATTTGCCAGTACCTTTAATCTCCAAAAATCACCCTTAAAATTTGTAAATTTAATTTGTTTATGGATGATGGAACGAAAGTCTGTCCTGGACATCATGTGATAAGCGCATACGAAACTAAAGATAAAGACACAAAAGCAATATAAGAGTTTACACAAACATTTACATCCAGTGATTGGCGATTGATATATCCAAAAGATATAGCTCTGGCCGATCCACTAATTTACATATCTCTCGTTGTACCATTTGATTTATTTTTTGCATACAAATTGGCACTCATATTTAACGAATTTAATAAAATTGAATTCCCCCAAACATGTTTTTTAGTTTATGTTTCCCCATTTTACCATTCCATTCCATTACTTTTATTTCCATGAAAAAAGGCTCATTGGAAAGTCTGATTGGTGCGAAAAGTGCAACAAAAGTGAGATAAATGCTAGTTCGTAAGTTTTATAAATTTCGAATACATCATTATAATAATAATAATAAACATTAAATACTGCCACACAACACACATAAAAAAAGGAAGCCGGTGGGAGGGAATCTTTGATTTAGGCCCACTGTCGTCTACATGGATACATCCTTGAGTACGCTGTCGCTTATGTCGTGCAGGTCATCACCATCGTCGCTCAGCTCGAGGTCAAATTTCCGCGATGCATCATTCAGGGCATTAATTTCATTCTCCTTGTTGTCATAGGGATCCTCGAACTGCTGCAAAACAGAAAATAAAACTGAAATCTATCGAAAAGCAAAGGTTGAGTTGCTACTCACATCCATTGTCTTGTCGTTGAGTAAAACGCGTGGCATCATTTGTTGTTGCATTGGTTCGTGTAGTGGCGTATCGGCCACCAAGGGATCCAGCCTGCCCGATGGCGATGTACTCAGATTCTGTACATTACGCGACAGATCCAAAACCTTGCGCACAGCCGCACTCTGTGCCACCAGCGAGCTGTTGGCATTGGAAGACCTTGGGGCAATGCATTCGATGCGTGTGCAGTCATTGCAACTGGATGGAGTGTATGGCTCGCTGGCAGCTGGAGAAGACTCTGCAGGGGACGCCGCAACAGCTGCAGGAGGCACTACAATTCCCGCTGGTGCATCATCAAAGCCAAACGATGCCTGCATCTGCTTCCATTTGCTGCCCAGCGATGAGAGATTGTGCTGCTGTTGCTGCTGCTGCGTGACAGACATTTGTGGCCTGGACGTAGACTTGCCAATGGTGCGCAACAGCTGCATGGGATTTGCCACCTTGGAGCGGTTCAGTGTACAATTGAGATCAGTGGACTGCTCAAGGGCTTTCAACTTGCGTGCCGAACGTGGCGGTGCAGGTGCTAAAAGAGCATAGAATATCAGGATTCAATTTGTTGAACCAAGCGTAATTTAATGCAATTTTCATACCCAATAAACTGTTGCTAAACGTGTCCAGTTGCTTGGCCTTAAAGTCATCCTGTAGTGGCAGGCGCACGTGTGGCGTGCGCACATTACTGCCAGCCAAATCGAAGCGAATGGGCGGCGTGGACACAAACTTCTTGGCAATGCCATGGGCTCGCAGATCGAGACGCGGTGTACCCGCCACCGATTGCTGCTGCAGCTGATGAAGGCTGCTGCTGCTGCCGGTGTCCTCTTTGAGTCGAACATTCAGTTTCCGCTGAACTCTGGTCACCTGGCTCTCCATCTCAGACAGTTCGAGGCGCAGTTCCTGCAGTTGTTTGGTCACAAACTCGTTGGACTCGTTGTAGTGATCGTTGGCATCCAGTTGCTCTGCAATTGTGTGGCTGACCATATTGAAGGCACCCACCAGAGCATCCATGTTGGAGCCGCTCATAGGCTCAGCATCGCTGTCGTAGAGCTGCCGCATGTCGCGTAGTGTCTGGTCCATGGCTTCCTCGTTTTGATTGTGCTCCACCTGCTTGGCATGGAAGCGTTCGATCTTCTCTTTGAGGTCCCTGAGGGGTGCCTCTAGTGCGGCATTGCTGGCAGCGGGCGCAGAGATATTCTGCTGCACAGCCAGTCGATTGTCTGCCTCAAAGTCCTCCAGGAAAGCATCGTCTTGCAGCTGTGCCTCGGGTACTCCGGTTATGCTGGAGATCTCAGCCAGAATGTGCTTTATCTTTTCTGTACTCTCTCGCAGCTGAGTCGAATTACGTTCCAGCTCCTCCACATACGAGGATGCATACTCCTTGAGGAGAGCATTCTGCCTGCCCATTGCCTTGGCATTCAAATCCCGCAGATGGGCCGGACTCGTGTCCACAAGTAAAACCTTTTCCCGTTGCTTGACCAGTTCCTGGACCACAAAGCCTACAAATTCCAGCAGAAAGTTTATAAACTTATGGCCACCAGGCATCACCACCAAATAGGACTTTATGTTCGCCCACTGCAGGTGATGCTTCTCGTTCAAGTGCTTCAGGTACTCCACGGTGCAGGAGCGGAAATTGGCCTCCGCCTTTTTGTCAGTAATTGGCCAGAAGAAGCGACGCTTGAACTCCACTGGATCCAGCAGGCGGAACAGATAGTGCATCACCTGAAAGAATGCCGCCTGATTGGGTTTGAGGAACATGTCCCAGCAGAGCAGCTTCCGCATTTCGTCGCCCATGGGATACAGCAAAGCCAGGCCCTGGAGCTTCTTGTGCAGCCTCTCGCTTTGCTCCTTCTCCTCGGCCTTCCAAGGTGCAATTACGGTGCGGTCCATGCTCGTTTTTCATTCACCCAGGTTCGTTTAATTAATTTATTTTCCAATATGGCCCCAATGTTGGGTTTTTTTTTGTGCCTGCCGCTGTTGTTTGAAGTTTTGCGAATATCAGTGTGACCGCTGATTGATCGATAAATATACCAACAAAACCTGAAGAATACATCGTAAATTTACCGATGAAAATCATATTCACATCACTAACTTCGTCAAATCGGTTGCCTGGAAATTTGTGCAGAAATTTATTTATTTATATTATTAAACAATAGGTAATTGAGTGTTTTAAACAAAAGCAATACAGCTAGATAAACTCCTAGTAATTTGCTAGCTAAATAGTGATAAAACAAAGTGTATATGTGACACATAAAGGGGCGGAAATAATGTCAGTGCGGGTCGAGTGCGGGATACAACGTAGCACTTTCTTTTTGTCTGCAGCCAGCGAAAAATCAATATGTGTATGGGGTATAGAAATTGAATATGTATAGTATAGAGGCAGTGGTCTGATTATGCAGATATCTGGAAAAGGACAAGTGCCCCGCCGCAGCCCGCTCTCGCGATAATCAAATCAGTAATACGAAAATAACCACAGTGAGAGCAGGCAGTGTTCTTGTAATTTAAGATAGCCAGCAAAGCAATGAGTCCCCGTCCGAGTTGAACTTAACACTGCTCGCATGTTGATGATTCACTTAATTTACGCATTTATGTATACATTTGTAATTCGCAGAAATCGGTAATCAGGCTTTTGAGGCTGCAAATATGGGTTCGTTGTTCCGTAGCGAGGAGATGGCTTTATGCCAGCTCTTCCTACAAAGTGAGGCTGCCTACGCCTGCGTATCGGAGCTGGGCGAACTAGGCCTGGTGCAGTTCCGTGATGTAAGTATCTGCCTCCACTATGCCAAAGAGACACGTGGAATTATCTGCCTACACCCCTCTTTCAGCTCAATCCCGATGTGAACGCCTTCCAGCGCAAATTCGTCAATGAGGTACGCCGCTGCGATGAGATGGAGCGCAAGCTGCGCTACCTGGAGAAGGAGATCAAGAAGGATGGCATACCCATGCTCGACACGGGCGAGAGCCCCGAGGCACCACAGCCCCGTGAAATGATCGACTTGGAGGTGAGTTTTTGCGGCACTTTGGACATGGATTTCTATGGCTTCATGTTTGATTTTTACAGGCCACTTTTGAGAAATTGGAGAACGAACTGAGGGAAGTCAACCAGAATGCTGAGGCATTGAAGCGCAACTTTCTGGAGCTGACCGAACTGAAGCATATTCTGCGCAAGACACAGGTCTTCTTCGACGAGGTAAGCATGCGGCATTCGCAGCAGCAATTAGTACATGACGGTGGTTGGCACTACAACCAAAGTAAACAAGTCCCAGTCGCCGGACAATTCCTAATTTCCAATTAACATATGTATGGCTTAAAAGTACAACAACAAAAAGAACTAACCAACTTTTCTAAGCAATAATACCGAGAACCTGCACCGACAACACAAGTGTGGCAGCAGCCTCTGGTTTCTAGTTTTCATAAGTAAATCTATAAAACTATTTCCCCCCAAACACCCGGTTGAGTTCAAATCCAAATCCAAACTCTGAACACAAGACAAACACACAACAAACACACAACTCTTGGCACATCCCTTCAGATGATGTTCCTTTTTTTTCGGCACGATTCTGCCCCTAAAAGGATATGTGCTTACCCTTTCCCCCCTTTTGTATGATTTTTTGTACACAATTATTGCTGTAATTGTTTTGTTTTTCCAGTGTGCGTTAGTTATCAGTTTATGGTTATTTGTTTATATACTTGTATACCTCAAATGCTTTCCAAAACTGTATATTGTATATATATAAACCAGCTCTATGTATGCATATGCCAGGACCCTCCCCAGCCTTATTGTTTAGTACTAATTTTTTTATGAATATTTTTTGCAATTTTCGGTTATTATATGATTCGTTTTTTACATTTTGTTTTTCCATATATCCAATCAAACAATCAATATCCAATCAATCAAAATACACCTTGACCAAAAAAACGAAAAAACACCCAACCAACCCACACAAATATACAACACACACACATACGGCACACACTCCCCGCTGTCGTACTGCCTGTCCGGTTGTGTTGCCAGTCGGTGCCCACGGTGTACAAGTCGAGTGCTCCCTCACATTCATCCAACAAATATCGGCGCCTTCTGCAGATGGCCGACAATCAGAACGAGGATGAGCAGGCGCAGCTGCTGGGCGAGGAGGCGGTGCGTGCCAGCCAGCCGGGCCAAAATTTGAAACTTGGGTAAATATTGCTGTAGTCGGAAAACATCCCACAACCAACAACAACAGAAGCAGCAGCAACAAACAAACAAAATCACACAAGCCAACAACAACAATGGGAAAACTAAACTCAGGGCCAAAAAACTCGCAAAAAAAAAAAAAGATAAATCCATCTCGAATCTTGCTCGCTCTCCTGCTCCTCCCATCTACGATACCCTTGCAGTGGGTGTTACCATTCATACGTGAGGTTTGCGATGGGTTAAGTAAATCTACTCTCGCATCCATTCCCTACCTACGTTTGTCTGTTTTTCTATGCAAAGACATAGATATTCATTTAATTTGCTTTGTAGATTCTCCATCACGTATCAACGAATTTATAACCTCAACCCACTTGAAATCTGCAAGGGTATTCAAGCGTAGGTGACCGAAGCTAAATAGCTGTTCATTTTTTTGTTTCGCCTATTCCCTCTCCCATCAGGTGCTATCTGCATTTGTACAGTTAAAAAGTATTTTCCATATATGCATATGTCAGTGTTTGTGTGTATGTATGTGTCAGTCCCATCAATAATTGTCTATCGATGTGTTTGCTGCGGTGTCGATAAGCTGCGGCTATCGAATTCAAATAATTACGCGTAAAAAGCACATAATCTACATAATGTTTTCTGTGGTGTCGGTTTCAATTCTATCCATTCGGCTATACTCAACTATTCCTGTTCCTTTTCCTCGTAACCTCCTCCTGCCCAAATCCAACAAACAATCCTCACACATTTCCACACGAAGCGACTCGTATGAGTTTCTAATTTTGGAGGCGGTTCTTCACTAACCAGCGAGCTACTAAACTAACCATAAGTTGTATCTTAGCTTAGCTTATGTAAAATGCTTAGTCGAAAAACCCGAAATCGAAATCAATTTTGAAAAACTGAATTTCTAGCAAGAAGGCGGTGCGAACCAAACCACCGAATCGATGACGCGCGCCCTAATAACCGATGAGGCGCGCACCGCTGGTGCTTCCATGGGCCCCGTTCAGCTTGGGTACGTATCCAGCATTCGGCAGGCACAACACAACACACACACACACACATTCCGCCAGTTCGGTCTAAGGAATGTGTTTGTTATTTCGCTAAGCCTACAACAAACTATATCAACTTTACATTAAACCATTTAACTTTAAATGAACTCAACTCAATGCCACACAAAATTATTGCTTACTGCCGCCGCCAATTGCCAAATGCCAAAACAGAAAACTAACTGAGAAATCAATCAGGAGTCGCCGCCGCCGCCGCGCTTCAACACAAATCGAAATCGTAACCCCTACAATCCATAACCAAAGAACAGGCTCCAATCTTGCATGGAAGGGGAGTCTGTCTGGTTTAAAGCAATAATTTTCTGTGTAGACAAAAAACAAAGCAAAACGCAACTAAAACAAACGTCCTTCTCTTCTTATGCTTCCTATCTTCCCCCCACACAAAAAACGTTTTCCAAATGTCCAAAAAAAAAAACAAAAACCAAAAAAAAAACCACTTTGGTTGCAAATATTTAGTTACATGGAAAAATCGAATGAACGTGAGGATTATCTTCCATGGTTGGTACCCTGAACACACTGCCGAACTAGTCTAGGAAACCAATCAATCAATCAATCAATTGCCTCATTCTCAATCGATCGCTCGCTCATCCACTCGAATCGATCGATTCTGTCGCATCAGCAGTATATATATAGACCATTTCATTAGCTTCGCTCGCTCGCCCGCACACGCACCCGCACCGCATACCATACTCCGTTCTCCGATCCCCATACAACGTGCTAACGTCTTACCTGTCCTCCAATCCTCCCAAGAAGTTCCTTTTGCCGTTTTCTCAATCTGTTCATTCCATGCTCCCTCCCACCTGCGCGTGCTGCGCTCGCTCCATTGGTCAATTTTGTGCTTGAGAGTTTAGTTTTCCTTTTTTTGTCGTAAATAACCGGAATGTCTCTCTGTTGAATGTCCCGCCTGCACATATGAAAGATCCTCAGCTAATCTTTATTCTCCTCTAGCTTTGTGGCTGGCGTTATACTTCGCGAGCGTTTGCCGCCCTTTGAGCGGATGCTGTGGCGCGCCTGTCGAGGCAATGTGTTCCTGCGCCAGGCCATGATTGAGACACCGCTGGAGGATCCCACAAATGTAAGTCAATAGCGATATTAATAACCCTAATTAAAACTAATGTTAATTCTTTTTGCAGGGCGATCAGGTTCACAAGTCGGTGTTCATCATCTTCTTCCAGGGCGATCAGCTGAAGACGCGCGTCAAGAAGATATGCGAGGGCTTCCGAGCTACATTGTATCCCTGCCCCGAGGCTCCGGCTGATCGTCGTGAAATGGCAATGGGTGTGATGACACGCATCGAGGATCTCAACACGGTGCTGGGCCAGACCCAAGATCATCGCCATCGTGTGCTGGTTGCGGCCGCCAAGAACCTCAAGAATTGGTTCGTCAAGGTGCGCAAGATCAAGGCCATATACCATACGCTGAATCTCTTCAATCTGGACGTGACACAAAAGTGTCTGATTGCCGAGTGCTGGGTGCCGCTGCTGGATATTGAGACCATTCAGCTGGCGCTGCGACGTGGCACAGAGCGATCGGGTTCGTCGGTGCCGCCGATTCTCAATCGAATGCAAACGTTCGAGAATCCGCCCACGTATAATCGAACTAACAAGTTCACGAAGGCCTTTCAGGCCCTGATCGATGCGTATGGCGTGGCCAGCTACAGGGAAATGAATCCGGCACCATACACGATCATCACGTTCCCCTTTCTGTTTGCCGTGATGTTTGGGGACTTGGGCCATGGCGCCATAATGGCCTTGTT